TCTTATGACAGGTTCGAATAACGATCCTACTTATCCATCACCTTCCAACTTACATTGGTAAAGGAGCGTATTGTCGCAGGGGCCAGTACAACACTCGCAAAGTGCAAATACTCCACCCGCAAAAATAAGAAGAATGGCCAAACTGTACGCACCGCGCATGCCTGGACCAAACATAAACGGCACCTCCCTCCGAGTTTATCTTATAGCTGCCTTCATCCTCCTTAGGAATAACATTGACAGCTGAGGACAGGACGAAAAACATCACAACTAGTATGTAAGGGACACGGAAACAAACAGCGAATAACCAACGCTCACAGACCTAATGTCGGAAAAGATAAGACAACGTGAAGAAAAGCGTGCCGGAGAAAGATATTGAATGATTGATTTTTTAGGTTTCACGCAGGATAGCACTAAAACACACACACCTCCTACGAAACGAATGTCTACTACAATACAGTTTCGTTCGAAGGTCCCCATCATATAACACCTTTCAATCGATTCTGCAACTGTGAGTGGAGGAGGGATGCATGGCTTATACCAATACCAAATCGGATGATGACGATTGCTCCTATTCTTATTGTTTGCGTTCAAAGATATTGTTCTAGACACATTCCGAGTGTTGCCAACGAGTCACACTTGCAATGGTGAATGAGGGAGCGGATTTCCAGGTGGCCGGATCCGACCTCGATAGATCCTCGACGCAATTATCTCTTCAACCAAAAAGCTGTAGAAGAAAACTAAACAGACCATCAGGAAGCGCAAACCTTCCGCTTTCCAAAACTATCTTCCCTTTTTCAGGATCTTACAATATAAGAGATATATTGCTCTTGAAGTGGCAAAAACTCGCGTGAAAATTTCGGCCTCCTCGACATTTACTCGACGAAATTTGACAGACCCTATCTTTCTGCAAGGAAGGCTTCCAGAGCAATTTCGATGCTTGTTGGAAACGCGAAATCCAGCTCTATCTAACTCTACCTCAAGCTGCTTCAAAGGTTGTGAAATGGAGGAATGCAACCTTTTCATCGAGGGTGTAGATTCGGACGTTTTTTTTTGAAATTTCGGCAAATCTGACCCAGTGACAATCGCGCCGCAGCTGCCGTTGAATCGGCCTTTGATACACTCGGCTGTTTTGATATACTCAAGCAAGAATCAAGATTGAATCGCAACCCCGGGTCTTCAGGATTTCTAAGTACGTTGTGACGAGTCACAACGGGGGGGTCGTACTGAATTGAGCTTGGGGGGGGGGTCGTAATTTTTTGGTGGCCGGCACTGAAAATTCTTGGTGATGTCCTACTGAGTATGGATAGTGGTACGAAGGAGAAGAGCAAACGCAGCAAAGAAAGTGTTTGTGAATAGTTATAGCAATTATGCAAAGCCTTCTCCCTGCAAGGACGCAGTCATGAAGTGGAAGATTGCAGCATCCTGAAAAAAGTACTCGCATTGTGACAGCCACGAGACCACATATGAAACTAATGCCTTTAGAGACCAGCATGATAGCCGGCACGATACGTTTGCGCAAGATTACTGATACTAGAGCATCTGTAAACCACGCTTCCCTCTGAATGAGCTTTCAAATGAATCAGCGAATTAGAAGGGCGCCCGAGGCGTGGCGCGCACCAAGGGAAGGGATGTAGTGCAAGCGCATGCTCGGAGCATTCTAGCACATCCTAAATTAAACATGAAATTGGTCTTGCGAAGAAGTTACGGGCAGTGGAACTTAAGAAAACTCGCGCTTTCGAGAAAGTGGCTCAAAAAATACCCCTCAAATTTGAGGGTTACAACGGGACTAAATTTTGAACTACTGATTTTTCAGGAACGCTTGGGTACTCGTTAGAAAGCTTGAATCCTGGAGTGTGTTATATCGCGTTCAGCTTCCTAAATGAATGACTTTTAAGGAAGTTATGATCGTTTGAAGGTAAAAAAGTCGCGTTTTCAAAGAAATGGTTACACCAGCCCTTTATAATGGTTACAACGGGACTAAATTTTGAACTACTGATTTTGCAGGAACGTTTGGGTACTCGTTAGAAAGCTTGAATCCTGGAGTGTGTTATATCGCGTTCAGCTTCCTAAATGAATGACTTTGAAGGAAGTTATGATCGTTTGAAAGCAAAAAAGTCGGTTTGCACCAGAGAAAGTCACAACGTCCAAAATTTTTAATAAATTAACTTTCGAAGAATTTATACCCATGATTGGCTAGAGAATAATTTGAATTTTTTAAATCAAATCACTATGGCGCTGAAGCTCGAACATGAAGGAAGTTATAGCCCTAGAAAGAGGAGTGTAAAAATTCTCTTGCAATCTAATTTTTTGGCTTATAACTTTTTCATTGTGAAGGGTTTGAGAAAAAATGGGCACTCCTTGAGAAGGATGAACCACGCTGATCCAACATCCGCCGATATCTTCCGGACTACCTGAAATTAAACAAAAAAAACTCCTAAACTTTTCACATTCCCGTTCGACGGCTCCTCACCTTGAGCAGATGCGCTCCACCGTCAGCAAGGCAAAAGGGCGCCAACCAGCAAATTTGAAATCACATCGCATGATTGAAAGAGCATGGTTTCGTCTGACTTATTGTCTTTACAATCTTTCTGAACAGTTTGCACACATCTTCAAGCGGGCAAAAAATTTATTGATAGATGACTCATTTTTGGCGAAGTTTTCATTCAACGGCGGTCCACAATGTGTTAAGGCAACTGATTCAGTTTGGCGATCTCTTAGTTTAGTAACCCCTCGGGGTACCCTTCGGGTACCTTCGAGTGCATCTCATTATTCGGAAGCTGATTTGACTTGAGTAGCAATAAATATTAAGGTCAATCTGTCTTTACACAAGTGTAACGTACAAGGGGGGGGTCGTATCAAATCAACCATGAAGGGGGGGGTCGTAAAAAATTTTCGAAGAGTCACAACGATAGGGTTGACCCTGATCGCAACCCCGTGTCCTTCAGGATTTCTGTGCGTTTCTGAACGAACCTCGCCTTTGAGGTCACACAAAGTTAATGCCTCTTTCCTCGAGTCGATATTTCAGTATGTACACAAAAGTATGCAGCGATGGAAGACGTGCATAGATGACAAGATGAAGCGTCCTTAGCATTATTTTGCAGAATTTTTTTTGATTTGTTTTGCAGGATTTATTTTAATTGAATTAATTTGCTCTGTTAGAGGGGGTCGTGCCAGGATCTCGATTTCGGGGGGGGGTCGTACCTCTGCGACCACGTACTCGACACGATTTTCACCCTGCTCGAACCCTCCCTGGCGCGCTGTTTTTAGGCACGCGCAACAAGAACCACCCTGCCATGGAGCTGCAGCTCACCTGGGTGCTATCTTCAGAATTTCATAAATATTAGGTACCGGATATCTTAGTGTCGCTTTTCTGAGTTCAGGAAGTTTTGGGGCCGATTACTATGGAAAATCAATATCCCAGAAGGCAGTTTTTGCTCATTAATATTGCGAAATATGTTGCTTACCGTCTTCTATTGTTGGTTCACAATTTAACTTTCCCCCAATTTTTATACTTTCTTCTGAAAATTCCTGGGTCCAGTGTGCAAATTCGCATGTGTGTACCAAATGCATCAAAATTCTTGCTGAGAGCTGTAACCTCCGCCCACCAAACCAGCATTGCATTTGATGGAGGGAATACTACCATTTAAAATGCTCATCGGTTTTTCACAGTTTTCTTAAAAGACAGTAAAGTCTTTGAAGGGATGCCCGCAACCGTCGCCAAAAAGGTGGTCCTAGCTAAATCAGTCAAAACGGGGCTGCACCAGTCTTGTGCTGGAATGGTAGGACACCCTAGCAGTTACTGATCGATGGTGCACAGACGCTCTAACGAAGTTGATTGACCAAGAAATTCTAATAAATGTGCTCATCTGCTACTCACGTGTGCTCAAAAAGGGTGCGTTTTTGACCCCATGTGGCAAAAAAGACTCCGGGAAAAATTGTCCAGTTGAGCTGGTAAGTAATAAATTTTCCACCAAACAGTGCAGACCCTACTCTAACTAAATGTATACATATTTTGTCCAGGCCCAACTGTTTAGCAAGGTAGAGGGATGATTTGTCAGATGATGTCAAATTCGACCTACCTCTCTTTTTCGTCTCAAAAAATTCCTAACTTTAATCGTACGAGGTTTTCACTCATACTGGTAAATGGGAAAGGGCTAATGAGTCATTCGATGGATATGCCGTTTCACTCACTGGATTTTGAATTAAAATATTGGTGGTCCGAAACTCGCGGTGAAAAAACGACACTAAGATATCCGGTACCTAATAGTTCTCCCAGGTGCCATAGAAGCAATTTCCACCATCATTGGAAAAACTTGCACCTCCACGTGAGGTGCTTATTAAAACTACTCGTTGACGTGCAAGTTTGGCTAGTTTACTACCGTCCCAGATTAATCACAGTTAATTTATTTGGCGAGTAGTAGGTAATAAGGCGGCGGCCCGGTTGACAATAGGTTACTATCCGTTGAAGCACCGGAGTTGGTCAAGCGTGGACGTGTGAGACGGTAAAGGCAGCTTACTATAAAAGTCAAAGATGGATCGGTGGAAGAAGAAACTGTGAAAAATGGCTCAGAACCCGGGAAAGGGAATCCCCTTCTTGCCCATTGATCTCCGCATTGATGCGTCCCTCATCGCTGCTGCACTCTTCAACGCTAACGCTCTCTTTGCTAAACAGTTGAGAGTCAGACAGCGAGAGGGAGACGTACCGCGCCGACAGCGCTGCGGGGAGGGCCATGCTAGATACCCGGAGCATGCCTTTGCTGCAAAGAAATCCGCACTTTTGGGGGAGGGGGAGCGCTTGTCTTTCCATTAAGTTAACTTCCCCTTCTGCACACTCATCGTGAAATTCTGCTCCGAAATGCTGCTTTGTCTTGGATAATTTGATAAAAGTCTATTTAGACAGTGCCCGCCCTATCCTACAAAACAACCCTAACTTAAAGCACAACCTTCGTGATTTCTACCTCATATTTAGGGGCGTTTTTCTGGTTGTGGCGTTGGTTCTGATGTTTAGTAGCTCAGTTCGTCGATCATATCCACTCAATCTCATTGCGTTGGGTGTTTTCGTAAGTAATTAAACTTATTTCCTTATTTTTCTTCTATTTGTTTGTTGTTTATTATCATTTTCCCCGTCTGTTTCAGACACTGGCCGCCGGTTATATGACCATGGCCGTAACATCATCGTACAATGTACAGTCGGTATTGCTGGCATTGTGTATCACCACATGTTCATCGGCTGCTATAATCGTTTTCCCTATGTTTATAAAAAAGGATCTCACCAGGTAATTCACGCTTAAAAATTCCTAAAAATGATTTAAATGATCAAATTCTTCCATAATAATCCTAACTCGAGCCGCTTTCCCACGTTTTCATAATATAATCTAAGCTTCTCTACTTCATATTGCAATTCTGAGTACTTTATAGAAAAGGCACATTACCACGTCTAGCGATTTAAGGAAATTTAGGCCTCAATGCCAAGCGAGGAACTGATCTAGGGACAGCGATTATGGGATCGACGCCATCTGCCACTGCCCCTCCACTACTAGCATTTATTTCTATCAAGTATTCGGGAGAGACAAGTGCATGGCGCACACCGAAGCATGAACTGCGCTGAGAAATCACCTTTAGATTCTCGAAATTCACAGTCATAAATCATTCCCTGCTTTGTTTCTTTAAGAGTGCTCTATTTCCAGCATGATTGGTATAACCTACGTGTTCGGCACAACGCTGTTGTTCTTCGGCCTCACAGCGATGATCGCTTGCTTGCTTTCAACGTCACATTCCTCTACACCGTGTATGCAGCTCTGGGAGCACTTCTATCAATGCTCTATTTAGCGATCGACACTCAGGTGCAGTAAAAGGGAATATTCGAATTGGTTTTTTCTCCTCTGAGAAACCTCATCATTCTGAAAAACGGGCGTCGCAACTCTCCTGCACAAGGGGCATTTTTCGCGATCACCATGGTATGCTTCACCTGGAATATGAAGCTAGGGATGTCAACCAGGTTTCCCCGTGGGCCACGTCGAATTCAAAAATTTCACGACCCTTCCCATCTTAATAGGGCTGGGTGGCGGGGGATGTTGATACAATTCCTGATCACCACCTTCAGTTCCATTCTTTTAATTGTCTTCCTAACTTCTCCTTCTCTACTCCGTTCCTCTCTCTCTCAAGGCCCCCATAAGTTAAGTAGTAAGGTACTATGTCGTAGCAGTCTATGTATTTATATCGGATTAGGAACTAAGCACGCTCTCCACTGGTCTTCATCGACTTCCTTTCCTTTCTTCCTTCAATTTTCCCGACAAACTTTCTGTTTTTTTTTCAATCATTTTCGGGGTCTCATCTTACATTCTTTACTTCCTATCATTTTCCCTTCATCACCTTTTTCGTTTCTTTACTATTTTTGGAAGAACAGCTCCTACCTTCGTGAATTTCCTGCGTGGCTAAATACTCTTATTTAGCTATTCTATAACTTTGTTTTTCTGACGCTTTCTAAACGACCTTCTACCCTCTTGTCTTCTCTGCATCCTCTCCCGCTCACCTCGACAATTTAAACTTTCTTTTCCATCTCGTTGATTATTTCCCACTGTTACCAACGCTCTGTCCATCATCTGTTCATTCTTCGTTCCCTTCTGATAATGTACGTGTTTATTACTACTATTATCATTAGTAGTAGTATAATTATTATTAGGGCGGAAGTGGTGTAGTGGCAAGTGGCACGCTTACCACGCGAGCGGTCCGGGGATCAAATCCTGGGTCGTGAGTCGCCCGGGCCAACCATCCCTCCGGGGTCGGTTAATTGGTACCAGACTTGTCTGGGAGGATAAAAACACTGACTTGTACATCGGCTGGCCCCCGCAAGTCATTGTATAGGCCACATCGCATTCAAACGCCACTACGAATGTACAAATGGAAGTAGAATGCGTGCCGCATCCCAAAAAGGGATTGATCAACGGCAAATGCTTTATCCTTTTTTATTATTATTATTATTTATTATTATTATTATTATTATTATTATTATTATTATTATTATTATTATTATTATTATTATTATTATTATTATTATTATAGTATAATTATTATTAGGCGGAAGTGGTGTAGTGGCAAGTGGCACGCTTACCACGCGAGCGGTCCGGAGTGGTTGGTATACTATGGTTTGTAGCACATATATTATTAATATTATTATATATTATTAATATTATTATTTATTAATACTGCATTACTATTATTAATACTGCACGCAATTATTACTGTTACAGAAACACTTACATGTGTCCCCATATACAGTAGCGGTCAAAAGTGTTCGCCGAAACGATTTTTAGTGCATTATTTTTTCTCGCTTGAGCAACGCCCTCCAAAGATTGATATACTATGTTTGTAGTACATATATTTATATAGTCAAACTTCAAAGAACGTTCAAAAGAAAAATTTTTCGAGGCTACCACTGGTATTATTCCGGCAGAAAAAGGATGCACGAAAAACCGTTTTGGTGAACATTTTTGACCGCTGCTGTACGTACACATCAAGCTGTTGAAAGAACTTCATCCTTCAAACGCTTCCTCCGTTCCTTTTATGATTTTCCGTTATTTTGTACCCTATTCGCTCTTTTCGCATTAGCAACTATCGCCTATCTTCCTTTGAGCATACTCTCATACTAGCAAACTATTGGGTTGACCCATAATTTCTGGCCGATTTTGGTTCAAATTCAATTTTCTTCATGTCAAATTAGCTTCATGATGAAATAAGTTAATATGTTGAAGAACACATCAGGACCTTCAGCCAGGATGATTCAGAAGCTTAAGTGCGCAAAGGGATAATTAAGTAGGAATCAAAATAGATCAACAACCAAACCCAACGATTTTGCCTTGCGACAATTTTAAGAAGAACCTTGCAAGGAGCGCGGTAGGCAAGATCAGCGCTACGTTTGCCCCAGTCTTTGCTACTGATCGGGCACTGAGCTATTGGCTCAATAGCATACGCAAAGGCGATAGGAGCTGCAAAGTTCGACCTCATCACGGACCCCAATCACTTTCGATGAGGACCGCTTGCGCTACGAATAGGAAGTGCATCCGGACGCTATTAGCAGGAAACTGTAGCAAACATCTGGGCGCAGCCTACGCTCCATGAGTCGACACCTGAATGGAATGGACTGTAGCAGAATGAAGCCTCGAAACAGCATGCATGGACTGACCATGACCGAGAAGCACGCCTGACCATCTGCAGAAGTTCATTCTGCGACCGTATAGACAAGACATTCCCTAGTTGGTCACCAGTGCAGATGAGTCATGAGTCCCCTACGATAACAACACGCGGCTCGCCTGGTGGCTACCTCGCAGCCTGGACGCACACATCAACCAAAACCCGAGCTGTTTCATCAGAGGGTGTGACCCCCGTTTTGTTGGATTCGCTGGGTATCCCGTTTTGAGAACCATTTCACTTTATGCAGACAAGCATTGCGAAGGTAACCATGGAATAGCTTCCAAAGTTGGCCGCAGCAGTGCGGGAGGAACGGTTGGAAAAGTCTCAAAATCTCCTTTATCCGGAGGACCGCCCGAAATCACATTGCAAAGATAACTCGCCACGTTTCGAAGGAAACTGGCTGGACCACGACACCACATCTATCGTATAGCCCTTACGTTGCTCCATCGTACTATCACCTCCTCAGCCCCTGAAGCAGCAGCTAGGAGAGGAAAAGTCAGTAAATACAACCACCCCAAAAACGACCTCTTCGAGCTTTTCATCTCACAGCTTCTCTCGTTCTGGGAGGAATGCATCCATTCGTTCCCTAGCAAATGGGTGCATATCAGTGATTATGATGGTGGTTATGTTTTTGATCAATTGTTCTTTAGGAAAGATAAAACTTGAATAAATCAAAGTGTTGAATTCGGCCAGAAATTATGGGTCAACCTAATATAATAACTGACGTTTCTTTTTCTTTTGTTCTTCCTGCTATACACCTGCATTATTGTTCTTCTTCCTTTTGTCCTCGTTATCTCCTCTGGCCACTTTTAGATTTATACTGTTTCTTAATTTTATCAGTTGAATTAAAAGCTCCAGCTGTGTATTTACAGAGCAAAAACAAGAATATAAAAGAATCAAATGGAGATTTCCTCGATTTCAGCTGTTAATGGGTGGACGGGAGCTTGAGGTTTCTCCTGAAGAATACATATTTGGCGCAATGCAATTATTCCTCGATATTCTCAACATTTTCTTGTTCGTCCTCCAGATTGTCAGAATTATATGTATTTGTACCGGTAACTGAATATTGTGGAAATAAATTAATTTATATCACGCTCATCGTGTTTCTTTGCTGAAGGAACGCCCGCAGATCAAGTTTGTGGAAAATGAAGTTATGGATCCGAATCGTCTAAAAATGAAAAAAAAGGAGCATAGAAAACCGTGGGTGGAGCTCGGAACGATACTTACATTTTGGGTTTGGGTCGTGGGTGTGCTTCTACTGCTCTCTGGCAAGGCTGAAGGTATCACAGAACACTGTGTTATGATTTTGTTGGGTACACCCCAGGAGGCCCGTCGCGCGGCAAAAAGGCAAAGTCAGCGGACGAGTCGCGCGCGCACTATAGGGATTTCGCGTCAAGTTAGAGTGTCCCATTGCACGTCCTACATCGCACACGCGCTGCAACTCGTCCGACGACTCTGCCTTCTTGCCGCGCGACGGGCCTCCTGGGGGTACCCGATTTTGTTTGCTAGGTCATATGTTTCATAAGATTGCTTCTGGTGTCATACGTAAGACCAGGGTCAACCGTCTGTCTTAACGAGGCAGGCGAGCGTGTCGCATTTGTTGCACTTTTGGGAGGGGAGGGTCGTACTTAGGCTTGCTGAAGGGCAAACGCTGACTTGCGAAAGCGCGTTAAACTTGAAATCGTTAAAACATGGTGGAGAGGGTGCTGATCGGGGTAGATATGAGTTGCATTATGTCTGATGGTGGGGAGGGGTCGATTTTGAACGACTTCAAGAAGACTTCCTGCCAGGGTGAATAACGGTCGAGGAAATCCTCGACAGGGGGTCGTATTTGCTCCGATGAGAGTTGGGAGGGGGTCGTAATCAAAAGGTTCATCAACGGACACAACGGTGCTGCTGCCACTTATTTGCTGTCATCATTAGTTTCACAAGTGTTGTAGTTAGCCTAATGCAAATAATATCTTACAAGTCTGGAATTGTGGTTGTTGGTTTGGTTCGTAGTGATCAGTATGGCATAGGAAGGCAACGCGTCCTGCAAAAGAATCGTAGGGAAAGGGCAGCGAGTATCTACTCTAGAATGATGTACATGCTTCGAGAACTTAGTGGAGGAACAGCATCTTGTAGAAAGTTCAAAACAGGCAGATTCGCAGCCTTCTTGGCATCATCAGATCCTGCAACCGCAAGCGTGTCATTCATCAGAACGGGTTGGAAAGGAAGCGATTTGAATAAAGGAATGATCAGACATCTATGACCACAAGAGTTATCCTAATTAGTTAATACTGGAAATATCTTTTGGTGTGCTTAAGCAAGTCGTCACTAGGACAAAACACCTTCCCAATGACTCCGAGTGGGGTCACTGCATGGCGCATACAAGAACGGAATGGATCTGCGCCAAGTGCATCATTTTCAATTTACTCCATCGAACTGACGTGTACAGAAGCATTTTGAAGGTGTTCAAAGAAGTTCCCTACTACGGCGAGGGAGTAATAGAGTTTTCGAGTGGCTTCGAAAATTTCCTTGACATTTCCTCGACGCAGATTTCTCGCGAACTAGAAAGCGTTCGAAACAACTGGAGCACCTATCAGAAAGCGTAAATCTTCTACTTTACAACGCTTTCCTCCGATTTTCAAAGCATTGCCAATGAAGACAGCTACTGTCTTCCAAAGAGTGGGAACTCGCATGTAAATTTCAATTTCCTCGACAATTCCTCGACGTCTCCCACTCTCGAGAATAGGTGTGCTTAGAAAAACGCTCAGCACAATTTAGAAACTAGAAGTCTTGTGCATTCAAAAGCTGCCTTCACTTTCTGAAATGGTTATCAATGAAGAAAGTTATAGTCCTTTGAAATAGGGGGTACATTTGACGATTTTTCCAACTAGCGCGCTCTAGGCACAGCGCGCGACGCGATCGCGGTAGTTAGCGCCGCTATACTGGAGCGCGAGACTGTTCAACTGTGTAGGGGCAGTACCTCCTTCAATGTTCTACTTTCCGGCCAATGTGGCAAAGGTTTTAAAGGAAAGAAGGAGAACCTAATCTGAGCAGAATTGAATCTAGCATTTGGATCAAGCCGCATTTGCGTGGCAGCGGCGCTGCGTCCCTCTCGCACATCTGAAACTAGCATTTTTTGATATGAAACCGGATGTGCAGAGGACAAAAAGGGGTCGTATCAGAGTCCATGTTTTGGAGGGGGGTCGTAAAGAGGCGGTTATTTCCTCGACACGATTTTCACCCTGGTCTTGAGCCCATTGTCATTTGCGAGCTGGAGCATTTTCACGTTGAAAGGTCCGAATACATACTACCCTGACGATGCTCTGCTTTCTTGCCAGTTTCCGTGACCAAGAACTCTTACCAGATTGTCTTCATTTTGACAATTATGAGCTGTTCCCTTGGTAATGTCATGTTTCATGTGGTGGTTACAGAATAGGCCAACTACCCTCGTTGTCCTGATAATTCACTGACGTCCCCTGCCGTCACTTGTTTATGTTCATGGATTCTGAATTCCCGGTCCTCTCCTTGACCTGCTATAGTGCTCTTAAAATACTGTCCACGCAGACGCCTAAGATAGCGCATGACAACCGCATTTTCATCCTGCTTACTTAATTTCTTATCTCCATAGTGACTGCTGTTGAAAGCAGTACAATACCGCCACTAACTTTTGAAATTTCTCCGCTGAGCGACGGATTTGCAGCGTCGCAAAGCGTCGCCCCTTCATAACTCCCCCCAAAGCGGGTCAAATGATTGGTGCTCTACACCATTGGACTCGTCTCTCTGTGGCGAGTCTAACCATGTGGAAAACTACGGTACTCGCCGTAAAAAATCGAAAAAAAACGCGAAAAACGCAAATTTCGCGTTTCTTTTTCGTTTTTTCGTTATAACTCGCTTCAGAATTAAGATTTTCAAAATCTGAAAAAAGCATTGAACTCAGCTCGTCGAGTTCTATAAGAATATGCTTTTAAACTTTTGGAAAGCCCTACTTCAGATTGCGCCATGCACTCGAGCTTTGGCTCGAGAAAAAATTGTTTGAATGTGGTGCGCATATAATCCCGCTTATGCATCATGATCGTTCTTCAGAGAGATGGGTCTCTACTGTTGTAGAGTACGCTTACTTAAGTGTAGAAATAAGATGACATACTTGCTTGTAGACGAGCGCTTCCGCCGTGCTGTGGCTGTGAAAATGCCTCCTCGTCATGCCCTTGTGGAAAGATCAGATTTTTTGCATTTCCAGATGAACTCGCAGACCTGAAATGTGCCCCATTAGATTCCCCGTGAAAAATGCTATCGAATGATATGCATTACTTCCCCAGTTGAAACTTTGGTTTTTCACCGTTTTCAGCCTTCCCCTATTGCCGGGGCATCATTATTCCACTATTGCCCCAAAATCTCAAAGTTTCATTTTTCGTCGAAACTTTGCCTATTGGGGTAATTCGATGCCCTGATTACGAATATGACATTCATTCTCGTAGTGTGGCCCCAAACATCACACCTCGCCCCATTTTTTGCGACATGTTCCATGTTTAGAGCAGATGTTATGTAGAAAGCTGTGAAGGCAGCGACGAATTTCCTTTACTGTCGTAGACTACGGTCACTTGTCTGTAGGAATTACATAGAAACCTTGGTGGCAGGTGAGTCTTCCTTCCGTAGTGTGACCCCAAACATCACACCTCGTCATGCCCTTGCGATATGATCAGATTTTTTTGGTTCTCCAGATGAACATAGAAGACTGAGATGTGCACCATTCAATTCCCCATAAAAATAACGTATACATACACTTTCTGGAGCATCTAGTATGCTAGTCATAGTTTTAATAGACTTCGTATAGTATAAGCTAATAATTAATTAGATGATATACTCGGGCTTGAGTGAGTGTTTCTTCCCTGGTGTGGCCTCAAACATCGCTCTCCGTCATGCCCTGAAATAAAAACCAGATTTTTTGGTCTTCCAGGTGGCTCTACGGAGCTGTGGTGTACACCATTCGATTCTCCATGCAAAATGCTATCGAACGATATACATCTCAGTTCCCACTTGAAACTTTCGTTTTTCACCGTTTTCGGCCTTTTCCTTATCGCCGATCGCCTTCCTCAGCCCTGGCCACCCACGTGCTATTCACGTGCGCGGTGCGTGGTGACTTTCCCACGCACTTTCGACACGCATAGCGGTGTATCGATCGGGCTGCCCGCCAGCTACCGAGAAAGGCCATCGGCTGTCACGTGAGCTCTCACGCACGCGCACGTGAATAGCACGTGGGTGGCCAGGGCTGAGGAAGGCGATCGGCGATAAGGAAAAGGCCGAAAACGGTGAAAAACGAAAGTTTCAAGTGGGAACTGAGATGTATATCGTTCGATAGCATTTTGCATGGAGAATCGAATGGTGTACACCACAGCTCCGTAGAGCCACCTGGAAGACCAAAAAATCTGGTTTTTATTTCAGGGCATGACGGAGAGCGATGTTTGAGGCCACACCAGGGAAGAAACACTCGCTCAAGCCCGAGTATATCATCTTTTTCCAACATACAAGTAAACTTACTCTACGATAGGGAAGAGAGTTCGTCCCTCCCTTCTCGAATTTCCTCAAAACATCCCTTCGAAAATTGGGAAATGTCACAAAATGGATCTAGTGGCAGGTAAACTAGATGTTCTCCAGAAAGTGAGTTGTATACCGTTCGACAGTATTTTTTATGGGGAATTGGTGGTGCACATCTCAGTCTTCTATGTTCATCTGGAGAACCAAAAAAATCTGATCATATCGCAAGGGCATGACGAGGTGTGATGTTTGGGGTCACACTACGGAAGGAAGACTCACCTGCCACCAAGGTTTCCATGTAATTCCTACAGACAAGTGACCGTAGTCTACGACAGTGAAGGAAATTCGTCGCTGCCTTCACAGCTTTCTACATAACATCTGCTCTAAACATGGAACATGTCGCAAAAAATGGGGCGAGGTGTGATGTTTGGGGCCACACTACGAGAATGAATGTCATATTCGTAATCAGGGCATCGAATTACCCCAATAGGCAAAGTTTCGACGAAAAATGAAACTTTGAGATTTTGGGGCAGTAATAGTGGA